CATCTGACATATTTTGGGCATGTTTCAAGGAGGGACTGGTCCTTGGAGAGGGACATCATGTTTGGGAGAGTGAAGGAACATTGCAGAAGAGGAAGACCCTCGATGAGATGGATCGATTCTGTGATTGGAGTGGTTGGAATGAGTGTGTTTGAGACAGCGAGGTTGGCACAGGATAGAAAGGCATGTAGGGTTCTTGTACGTAGGGTCGCTATGAGTTGCTAGCAACTCAATGGGACATAACAGTAACAACAACACAATTTGAACTATTTACTTTTTCATTTAAATCAACATTATTCATAAACAGTTACATACGATTCAAATATTATAAAGTATATAGGTTGACTTTTGATCAGTCTATATTTTCACTCTGTGTGAGATAGGGAATATTTCACATCTGTAGAAAGCTCCCTTTTGCTCTTTACATCAATTCTCAGTATTTTCTGGAAATCTCTGATCTGACCTCTGAATGTATAGCTTAATTTTGCCTACATTAGCTCTCTCTATGTGCTGCGTATTTGATAGAAATACACAGCACATACTCCTTGGTATCTGGTGCCTTTAACTTAATTTAAAGTCTTTAAATTTTATCCATGTTATTGTGCATAATAGAAACTGGTTTTACTTCTTTTCCCTTCTACTGAGTAGTGTTGCATTGTGTAAACACCATTGTTGCTTATACAACATAGGTTTTGGCATAGGTACTGTTGAGTATGACTCATAACAACCCATATGAACAACATGTTCTATCATGTGGAATCCTTATTATCCTTGACACAGCAGAGTCCATTGCACAGCCAATACATCAATGTATCTCACTGAAAGCCGTCTTCTCTTCAGCTGGCCCTCCACCTTTCCAATCATGGTGCCCTCTCCAAGGAATAACCCTTCTTACCAACATGCTCAAAACATGTGAGAAAAAAGCTACTCCATCTTTGCCTCCAAGGAGCTTTCTAGTTATAGTTTCTTCAAGAAACACCTGCTTATCCTTTTGGTAGGCCATGAGATATTCAATACTCTTCTCCAAGACCATAACTCAAAGGCATTGATTCTTCTGTCATCTTTATTCAGTGTTCAGCTCTCAGATGCATAGCAAGTGATTGGAAAGACCATCGCTTGACTCAGGTATCCCTTAGTCTTTAAAAAGACATTGTTCTTTAGGACTTTGGAGAGGTCTCTGACATGTTCTGAGAGGGTACTTTGACTAACAAGTTGTATTTCATTGTACATGATGATATGCATAGGAATCAGATCGATTACATCTGTGGAAAGAACCACTGGAGAAGCTCAATATTAGCTGTGAAAACTAGGCCAGGAGCTGATTGTGGAACAGACCACCAACTACTCATATGCAAGTTCAAGCTGAAGTTGAGGAAAATTAAACCAAATCCAAGGCAACCAAAATATGACTTTAAGTCTATCACACCTGAATTTCAGAACCGTCTCAGGAACAGGTTTGAGGCCTTGAACACTAATGAGTGAAGACCAGATGAGTTGTGGGAGCATATCAAGGGTATCATCCAGGAAGAGTGCAAATGGTCATTGCAAAGACAGAAGAGGAAGCGAGGACCAAAAT